TATTTTCACGCAAATTCTTCTGCTAATTGGGGTTTAGTCCAATCCTGTATCCTTCCCTTCAAGGCTCAGGGGTCCACAATTATCTTCTGTGTCTGTGTTAATTGGTTTCCCTTTTCTTTGTTGAAGAGGGTCTGTGCAATCCTTCTGCCTAGTCCGCCATCTTGCTGGAACTCCTATTTAATTCTTAAGATAAAACAGAGTTGTAGTTTTTTTTATGTAACATCTTTTTTCTATTTATGTGACATCAGAAAATTTGATTCCACCTTCTCTGAGATACTTATTTTCCTGTGGGTTGTTGTTCGAATTTTACCTTCCCTGACGCCCACTTTTCCCAGTGCTTTTTACTTCTCTTTCTTGCTTTATTTTTCTCCATAACACTTATAAATATTGTCATTGTCATCGTCTTCATGTGTCATTGAGTTGGCCCTGACTCGTAGCGACCCCTCCTTGGGTTTCCGAGGGGTATTTAATGTTTTACATGTTTTATTGCTAGAGTTTCACAGGTATATCTTGCTGTTGATGAAAGACTTGCATCTTTGAAAACTGACACATTTAGCAAAACTAGAGAGGAAAAAATGGAAGATATCTTTGCACAAAAAGAGGTAATTCATTCCTTTGACAGAAAATCTAAAGTTAACTGTTAACTTACTAGAAGTTTTTTTGGGAGTTGTAACCTGTCCAGTGTCTCAGATTACTGAAATTGTTTCTAGATGGAGGAAGGAGAATTTAAGAACTGGATTGAGAAGATGCAAGCAAGGCTCATGTCTTCCTCTGTAGATACTCCTCAGCAACTGCAGTCAGTCTTTGAGTCGCTCATTGCAAAGAAACAGTGTCTCTGTGAAGTACTGCAAGCTTGGAATAACAGGTAAACTCTGCAGTCAGTTGTTTCTTTAATATGATTGACACACAAAACAAAAGGTATATGAACTTTTGAATGTAAAATGAATCTGCTTGTAAAATTTCACCCAAATCACAATAAAAAGTTAAGAAGAAGAATTAAAAAAAATGACCTATGATGAAAAATGGAGCTCTGGTGGTGTAGTGCCTAAGGCACTTGACTGCTAACCAGAAGGCTGGCGGCTCAAACCCACCAGCCCCTCTCCTCGGAAGGAAGGTTGGGCAATCTACCTCTGAAGTGATACCACCTTGGAAACGCAAAGAGGGGTTGCTGTGAGTCGGGTGCGACTCGACGGCACATAACAACAACATGATGAAAAAATATTTTTTTGACAATTTTGTTCTGCCATGATGTTTTTCATTTAAATGTCTTCATTAATATTAATTTTGGATGTATCATTTTACTCTCACTTTATAGAACTTATTTTTCGGGCACCACCAGCTGTCACCTTCAGCCTTTAAAATATATATACTAATCTTTAGGCAATTTGTGAAGATATAAAACCGAAGATGAGGACAATCTTCAGTGCTATTTTAAATACTTACAGTGTGTGTGCTTATTGTATTGTTATTGAATAACTGAATTAGTATGCCTTAGAATGACTTGGTTTTTAGGCCAGGGATTTCAAATATATTATATTACATAGGTCACTATGAGTTGGCATTGACTCGATGACAGTGGTTTATACCTTTTTAAAAATTTTTATTTTTGGAAATATTTTTCATTTGGAAATACTTAAAAAATATTTTTCTTTAAAACTTAGTTATATTATTATAGCTACCATTTATGAAGCACTTGAATTATGCTAGATGAGTCCTACAGGATATATACCATTTCCTTTCTGTAGAAGGGGAAACTGTGATTCCAGGAAATTAAGGACCCAAATTAGTTATATAGCTATTAATTGTCAGAGCTGAGATTTGAGCCCAGGTCTCTTGGTCTCTTCTTGTTGTTATTTGCCATTGAGTTGGACCCGACTCATAACGACCCCTCCTTGGGTTTCCAAGGCAGTATCACTACGGAAGTAGATTGCCAACCTTCCTTCCGAGGAGTGGCTGGTGGGTTTGAATTGCCAGCCTTCTGGTTAGCAGTCAAGTGCCTTAGGCACTATGCCACCAGAGCTCCTTGTTGGTCTCTTAACATACATATTTTTTTTCCATTATGCTGTGCTCCTTAGTAGGATAACTGCTATTCTTTTACAACTATAGTCTTAGCGTCAAGAGCTGTTAGCTGGTTGATTAGAAATAAGGCAAAAACTTAGTTACATATAACTTTAAAAATATTTTGCAATCTAAATAGGGCAATTTAATTATTGACGTTTCAAAGTTGTAAAGAGAATTTGTTGACATCATTCAGGATACTGAAAACAAAGCCATGTATATATTTTTTCCCCTTGACCACAGGCTGCAGGACCTTTTCCAGCAAGAAAAGGGTAGAAAACGACCTTCAGTTCCTCCAAGTCCTGGAAGACTGAGACAAGGGGAAGAAAGCAAGGTAATAAAATAGGATCTGGTCTCTTTTGCTTCACTGATGTAAATGCTGTTGTTATAATTCCCATTTATAAGCCTTAGAAGTGGTAGTTTTTTATATACTTGATTAATAAGATTTGATAGAATTGGCTGTTTTGAAGTTATAAGGGTTTGAGGAGACATCACCTGGATTACTTTTATTCCATCCTATCCTGAAAGAAAATGATCTGTTACAGTGTATTTATTTGAAACATTTTTTTCAAAGTTACTATTTACTTGCATTTCTAGAGGTAGCATTAGGTTGCAGTCAGTGCTATGAAGAAGTTGTGGATGGTCTGAATGTCTTGCTGAGGGAGTGGGTGGTAGTAGTGGTGACGGCTGGCTATCTTATGTAGAATGGCTAGGGAAGGTCCCTCTGGTACGGTGACCTTTAAACAAAGACCTAAGAAATGACTTTTTAATCACATAATAGAGTCCTAATTTAGTTTACTATGCAGTGTTGAGTGTTCTTTATCTCTGTAGCTCTTCTTAAGGGGTCTGAATTGGGTTAGTTCTACACATTGATTTAATTAGCCTTTTTGACTGTATTAGTTTTCTCTTGATGCTTAACAGATCACCACAGGCTTACAGCAGATTAAATACAGGCACCAGATATTAATTTAGCTGTCTTCTGTAAGCTAGACATCAAAGATATTTGTAAAAGTGTAAAACAGTGCCACTCTTCTCATAATTTTTTTTTTGAAGGTAGTTATTTTTTTTTAATTAAAAAAGTTATACATAATGTTTATTATTAATTTAAATTAATAAGAGCATATTCTAAAGACTTTTTCAGTTTTAATGTCTAATATGGTAAAAATTAAAATTTGAGTGACCTTAATAATTTTTAAGAGTATTATAAAGAGGTCATGAGACCAAAAGTATAATATGTGCTAGGTTAGAGAATTTTAAAAATATGATCTTGTATTTCCTTAACTACAAAGTATTTACTTCTCCACAGATAAGCACAATGGACGCATCCCCACGGAATGCTTCTCCGGGACTTCAAAATGGAGAAAAAGGTTAGCCCTTGAGTCTAGTGATCACCTGCTATTAGACTTAAGGAAATTTCTTAGTCTATGAATTTTGTTTAACTGCTAATTTTAAGCATTTTTGTTTCTGATGCAATTGTTCATAGTTTTATTTATTTTGTCTTTCTTTAGAGCATTTATAACCCTGGCAACTTAAGACTATCATAAAATATATAGAAAGAAGATAAGAAATAGAAGTGTATAATACGTAGAGAGGAGTGCTATTAAGGAAAAACGAAGACAAAAAAGGAAATTGAATTTTATTTTGTTTATTGCAAAAGTTGTACTCCAAGAGTCTTAGAAAGTTTAATTTGTATTTTTTATATCACTAAAATCTTTTCTAGACTTAAGACATCTTTCACAGTATTTCATTGACTAACTTGATATCACCCTGGAAAATTTATAGGAAATTACCTAGTCTGTCTGGATAGAGCAAGAGTTCAAACTCATAATTATTGGCATTTTTCTATTATAATTAAATGAGACTTTTTTCCCCCTCAGAATGAGCATGTAATCTGCCTCCCCCCCCCAATAATATCCTAATTTCATCCCTGGTCGAATTGGGTAAATTTATATAGAGGTAGAAATTGTGGTATAGTGGAGAAGTATTGGATAAGAGTCAGATGTGACTGCCAATCACAGTACACTGGGTCTAGGATTTAATTATGTTGTTGTTGTTGTTATGTGCCGTCGAGTCGGCCCCGACTCATAGCGACCCCTCCTTGGGTTTCCGAGGCAGCATCACTACAGAAGTAGGATTGCCCAACCTCTCTGCATTTTTGTATCTATTTTTATAACGTGAGGTAAATGGCTTCCAAGGTGCTAAAATCCCAAGTTTTGGGATTTGGAAATACTAGTTTGATTTTAGAAACATTTATACTAGGTAAGTAGACTTGGTGCTTTTAAATGACCTATTTAACATGCTTTCCTTCAGAGGATCGCTTCTTAACAACCCTATCCAGTCAGAGCTCCACCAGTTCTACCCATCTCCAGTTGCCAACTCCACCTGAAGTCATGTCTGAGCAGTTGGGAGGAGGACCCCCTGAACTAGATACAGGCAGCAGTTCCGAAGGTACAGTTTAAGTCACTTTTCCTGTACTTCATTGAATCTAAGACTGAAAGATGCATCTTTGTTTTCTTACGTATCACCATGAAGGAAAAATGCTGCAAATTCTTTGACACAGTGCTTTCTTATCCTTTAAAATTACTAATTTTTTACTGAAAATGCTCTTTTAGACTTAATTTGTTATTGTTGTTATTTGCTATCTAGTCGGACCCAACTCATAGCGACCCCTCCTTGGGTTTCCGAGGTGGTATCACTACGGAAGTAGATTGCCCAACTTTCCTTCTGAGGAGTTGCTGGTGGGTTTGAACCACCAGGCTTTTGGTTAGCAGTCAAGTGTCTTAGGCACTACACCACCAGAGCTCCTTCTATCCTTAATTAGATACAGCTTTTTAATCTTACCACTTTTTCCTTCACTGATACTACTTGACATGGAGATCTTTTAGTAACAAAATGTCATGTAGCTTTTTCTACTTTCTTGGGATCTTATTTTCTTAATACCCATAAAGTAAGTGTTTGTTACTTTATAAGGAGATAGAGAAATTGTAGCCATTTCTCCAACAATAAATAATTGCTAGATTAATAGCATATTTTAAGGAGGCTTAACTGAAAGGTTGGTGGTTCAAACTCACCCAGTGACTCCACTGAAAAAAAAACCTGGTCATCTGCTTCTGTAAAGATTACAGCCTAGAAAATCCTATGGGGTAGTTCTGCTTTGTTATATGGGGTTGCTTTGTGTCAGAATCAACTTGGTGGCACCTAACAACACTGGCAAATGTATGCCTACACCTGTCTTTCCTTGCTTTCTATTTACGCAGTAACTACTTAAAACTCACTGCCGTCAAGTCAATTTGACTCATAGCGACCCCTCCTTGGATTTCTGCGGTAGTATCCCTATGGAAGAAGATTGCACAATCTTCCTTCCGAGGAGTGGCTGGTGGGTTTGAACCACCAGCCCTCTGGTTAGCAGTCAGATGCCTTTGGCAGTACACCACCAGAGCTCCCAGTAACTGCTTAACTTGGTGTAAACCTTTAAGACTTTTTAAATTGCAGTAAACTCAGATGTAATAACCACAGTGCACATAACTCAGTTGAAGTGGCAACATGAACAGCTGTAACTAAGTTCATGCATGCTTAGGTAGTAATTACATCATGGCTCTGGCCTGGCTGTATGTGATAGAAGAAGCCATCAATTGTGGGGTGACCCCAATGTCAGAGATGCTAAAATGTATCCTTGAAGTCACTGCTGTGTATGCTTCATTATCGCTTCCTTTGATCTCCTAGGAGTCAGAATTCCTAGATAAGGAATTTTAAACCACAATTACTAGTTATGGTGTACATATATGTCTGCATTCCTAAAAGAAAAAGAAATAGAGGTGATGCTTTATACTTTTTATTCTTCCTGAATATTAACATATAAAATAGAATATTTTCATCCTAGATGTATTTGATGGACATTTGCTGGGATCCACAGATAGCCAGGTGAAGGAGAAGTCAACCATGAAAGCCATCTTTGCAAATTTGCTTCCAGGAAATAGCTATAATCCTATTCCCTTTCCTTTGTGAGTATTATAAAAGCCAGTAGCTACTGGGTGGTTTTATTTTCACTGAATTTTTAAAGTCGCTCTTCACAGACTTATTCTATACATACTTAAATATGTTTTACTTACCTGTAAGTTTACAGTTCTCAAGCCTAATTACATTTTGTCATCATAAAAGATGTGCAATGTAATTTGTGGAGCATGTAATCCTTATTATTGGGTTATTGCTTAATGCTTGAGATTACTGGTTCTGAAAATAATTGTTTACTTTTTCTGAATATAATATGAGTAAACAGAGGGAATAATTATCTTGTGGCTTTGCTTGCTTTTACCTTCTTTCTTAATCATTAACTCCTTTTCCTTCTTTCTCAGGAAAACTTCCTAGATTTCCCCCTATTCCTCACCCAAACCAAATTAGGGCTCTTTGTTACAGGGTCTCACGGCTCCTGCATAGTACTCACTACCACAGATGATGGTTATATTTCTTTTTAGGATTATTTGTTTCTTTACCTTCCACACTGTAAACTCTGCCATGCCTATTTTTACCTCCCCCCCCCCAGCATTGTGTTGTTAACATCTAGCACGTGTTAGGTTCTTAGTAGTAGTTTTTCTTAATATTATATCCCTGGTACATATTAGGTTCTCAGGAAATAGCTGTTTTGCAGATGAGTTAATATGGCTAGTAGTGTCTGGGGAGTTAGAGTGGAAGCCAGAGAAGCAAGATCAGAGGTTCAAATAGTCATGCCAAAGAGTGTCCATGTGATAGTAGGAGAGTGGCTGTGTTGCTTTGTTTGGTGTTGGGCTAGTGGTACATCTTCCCCACAATTCCTAGAAGGCTTTTCTCTCAAGCTTAGAGTAGAATAAAGTATTTTAGACTTCTGCTGTTCATTGTAAATCCTTTTTGAGGTTATTATGGCCCAGAGTCTTGGCAGTATGCAAAGCTGTGTTTGGAGTGACTATTTTGGAACTCTCTGATTTGAGACCTAATTCTCATAATTTTTTAAAATTGCCTTCAAAAACTTTCTGTTGACATCTTTTTATTACCTATTTGGTTAAAGTTCTCAGCACCTGGATATATTTTGGCTACTTAATTATATTCTTGGTGTGTAGTATTTAGTTAACTGAATTGCCTTGAGATTTATTAATGGTTTGTATATGTGATTTTATGCAAATTTTGTTCTTACTTATTTCTTTAAAAATTTTGAACAGTGATCCTGATAAACATTACTTGATGTATGAACATGAACGGGTACCCATTGCTGTCTGTGAGAAGGAACCCAGCTCCATCATTGCTTTTGCTCTCAGGTATTATTCATGGGACTGTTTAACCTGTGGCTCTGTGTATATAACTGTGCATGTTTAACACCTTATTTTTGTGATCTTGTTCACATAGGTAAAGTAAAAAGATTAAATATATATTCTTAAGGACATGATAGCCTGGTCTCTTTTTATATGAAAACTTTCTCTTCCCCTAAATAATGGGGTATAGGATAATTCTTAAGCTCCTTATAAATAAACTAACTAGGCAAGTTATTTATACTCACCCTTGAATTCTCTAACCATTCTCTCTGTGACAGTATGTATCCATCATGTCCACTTCCTTTATTGCTTCCTTCCATTTACTATACTATTGCCTTGTATCATCTGGATACCTTTTTGTGCTCTTCATTGCCTTCTTGTTTCCATACTTAGCAGGTAAAATTTTCCTACTGAGAGTAATTGTTTTTCTACCCGTGAAGCCCTAGGCATTTCTAACTTTTTAGTTTACATGCCTGCAGTTATCATGTGCATTAAAGAAAGCACCTCAGTTTAAACATATGTATTATGTCTAAAAGAAATGTTAATACAAGATTTTTAATCTTAAAGTTACCTTGGCAGTGTTTGAAAGTTAAGTAGAATCTAACATATTTAATTAAAAAAAAATATTTTCCTCCACTGGAAGCATTAAATTAAAAAATTTTTCTTTTTAGAGTAGTGGTTACAAGGAGTCGATTTGTTCAACAAATATTTGAATGTCTACTCAACATACATAGTATATAATATGTATTATACTAGATGTTGAATATACACAGGAAGCAAGACAGATTTATATATCTCTGCCTTTATGGAGTTTAGTTTACTGTATGGATAATGAGGAATAGTTTGCTTGTATAAGATGCTATATGGTAGATTTTGTATTTACCTTTTGGTCTTTAGGAAGATAATACTGCTTCTCACTTACTGATGAGTAATACTACATTAATAGATGCAAAAACGGCAAGGCGGCCACATGTTCTGACCTCCTCCAATCCCATGAGAGGAAGACAGGATTACCAGCAGTAACCCAAGGCCTATTCCTACCAGGCCAGACATGCTGCCTCCTTCCAGCCCTTCCTCCAACCGTTCCTCCCAAAGCACCACCACCTCTCTCCGGGGTTCGATAATTCGCTGCAGTGGCCACACAGAACTCACAGATTATGGAGTTTATTAGGGAAGCACCAGGCTACAATTCAAGCTCAGGAAAAACGCTCAGTCT